TGGGCCCGCGGCGCGCCCCAGGCATTTAACCCAGGGCGGCCGTGAGTAATCTAAGCTGGCCTTTCGGCCCGCGGGGGCGGCCGGCAGGTGGAACGAGTGTGTCCTCGGTCCCGCCGGCGGCACCTCGCGGATGCTCCGTGGGCCCGCGGCGCGCGGTCGGCGGGATGCCAGTGCGTCCCGGCCGGCGCGCTGTCGCTGTGCGCGTAAATTAACGAGGAGCCAGTGCGCCCTCAGCTGCGCACGCCAAGCAAGGCATGCCGTGCTGCCCCAGGCCAGATGGCCCAGGGCGGCTCGGGCCGGTCATGCAGGGCCAGCGTGCCCGCGCCGGCGGCCGGCTTGTGGACCGGGCACGTCCTTGGTCCCGCCGGCTCTCCGCGCCGAGGGCCAGCGTGTCCCGTGCGACGGTTCAAACACCGCGCGCCCGCCCCGAGGGGGGGGGGGCGGGCCGGCCTGCGTATTTCGGGGACTCGACCATGTGATTCGGTGCCCCGTGGCGTGATTGTGTCGTGGCACCTCCCCCTTGACTTTGCCACTAAAAGATGCGCGCCCCCCTTCCCCTCTCCTCGCTCACCCTCTTTCCGCCTGGGCACGTCCAAGGCTGCCGCCGCGGTGCCGCGCCGCGGGGCCTCGAGGCGCGCGGTGGGCATGGGGCGCTGCCCGCCCTCCGGGGTGTCGGGCTGGGCCCGTAACCATCGCCGCCCGAGGGCCCGCGGTCGTGGCTCCGCGGGTCGGGGGAGGAGGACGTCTCTGGGCGGCGTGTGCGTCAGGGCCAAGGGGAAGTCAGGGGGTGCGCCGTCAGGTGGACCCCCCCTCCACTGCGCCCCCCGCGGCTGGCGCCGGTGCTGAGGGCCCCGCCGGTGGTCTGGACGCAAGCCCTCTGGGCCTGCCAGACGCTGCACGAGGCCATCATCGACAGCTCGACGAAGACGGGCGATGGCGATCGGCTTCGTGACTCTACGCCGCCGCCACCCCTGGCCCCAGGCCTGCGCGCGGAGTGCGCGGACAACTTATTCTCGCTGAGCCAGGGCGCGGGGGAGGTGAAGGATCGCGCCCTGTCCGCCACCCGGGCGCTGCAGGAGGCCAGGCTGCCCGCGCGCGCGCCGAGCTGGGGGGCTGGCGATGAGACGCTGGGCCGGCGTTTCTTGGACCTCGAGGCCGCCGTGGAGGCGGCGCTGCGGTCAGCCTGGCGTCTCCGGTTGGGCCTGCTGGCTCTGGTCGACAGGAAGTTCGTCAGCGGCCGCGAGCTGTCGAGCGTGATTGGCCACTGCGCTTCTCGAGCCTTGATTCGCAGGCAGCTTCTGAGCGCCTCTCGACGAGTTGCGCGTACGTCGAGGTTTTCAAAGACAGGTCAGGCCGGCTCTGGGACAGTGTGCGGCAGGAGCTGCGCTGGGCTGCCGCGCTGGTGCCCCCGGCGCGGCGGCAGCTGGGCGCCCGCCGGGGCCCGCGGCCCACCGTCTTCGACGCCTCCGCGTGGGGCAGGGGCGCCATGCAGAAGCACGTGCCAGAGGAGTGGCTGGCGGAGGCCGCCCAGATCAACGAGCGGTGGTGCCTCTCACGGTCTGAGGAGGGCTCGGTGGCTGCTCGCGGAGATTTGGAAGTCCTTGATCACGGAGTTTGTTCGGCGCCGCGCCCCGCCCGTGCCTCGATCCATGTGGGGAGGGGTTTGGAAAAGAGTCTCATCATCCCCATGGGATCGCCAGGAAGCACAGGCCGCCCTGACTACGGGGTCGGAAGGCCATCGGAAAGCGCCGCGTGATGTTGTCGGACGCCGCGTCGTTCATCCTTGCCGCCCCCACGGGCCGCTCACCGGCTCAAGGCATGGGCCCCGTGACCACCCTCTGTTGGATCGGCCCCGTGTCTGTTTACTTCCGACGGGTTCCCTCCGAGAGGAACGCTGCCGACGACAGCGCCCAGGGCTCCCCGCTGCGCCGCGCGGAGGCCGCGCGCGGCCCAGTTGTGCGCGATGCTGCCGCGGCCGCCCAGCGTCGCGAAGACGATCCTGGGCGGGGTGCCGAAGCCCGCGGACACGACCGCCATGCCGAAGGCGACGCTGCTGAGCCGGCCGATCACCCGCCCGACCACCGGGGCGCGGGCTTCAGCGCTAGGGCGGGCGCCGAGGCGGCTGGGGCCCAGTGCGGGCCCTTCGGCCCCGTGCAAGCCGCGCCGAGGCGCGGGCGCGGAGGCGGCCCCCCGGCCGGTCGCGACGACGGGCGCTCGCGCTCTGATCAGCAGGGGGGCCTCGCAGGCCGAGCTGGGGCCGGACGCGCGGGGCCTGAGGAAGCGGAGGGGGCTGGAGAAGCACGGCTGCCATAGGACAGACGCCGGCGCTCCGGTGAGCTTCCTGGAGCGCCGCGCCGCGCGGCCCCGCGCGGAGGCCAACTACCGCAACCGGGCGGCCGTCTTTAAGCGCTGGGCCCGGGCGTCCAGGGTGCCGCTGGAGCTGGCGTCGGCGCTCGACGCGGCGGCGGTGGCATGGGCGAGCGATCAGTTCTCCGAGGGCAGCGGGCTGGCGAGCGGCAGCTACCTCCTGGCGGCCCTGGGGCACCTGCGCCCGGAGCTCGCGCGTGGGGCGCCCGAGCTGGTGCGGGGCCACGCCGCCAAGAGGGGTTGGCAGCTGTTGGCTCCAACAAAGTCCCGGCTGCCGACCCCGCTCCCAGTGGCCGCCATCATGGCCAACGCGCCGGCGTCCGAGGGAAAGCTGCAGATGGCGAGCGCGGCGATGGTGGCACTCGCGTTCGTCCTCAGGCCCGCCGAGGTGATGCGCATCCAGGTCTTGGACGTGGTGCCCCCGCCCCGCGAGGGCGGGACCGGTCGCGGCCGCCTGTCGCTGGTGCTCCACCCCCTCGAGCAGGGGGCGAGCTCGAAGACGGGGGCGCACGACGAGTCGCTGGTGCTCGACGACCTGGAGTTCGCCTGGCTGGGGAGCGTGCTGGGCCTACTCAGGCAGGAGGCAAAGGGGGGAGTACCTGTTCGGGTTCAGCTACGCCGACTGGGCCCAGAGCTTCGCCGACGCGGGTCGCCGGCTGCGCTTCGGGAGCCCGAGGCCACCCGTGCTGCGCCGACTCAGGCACGGGAGAGCGCCCCGCGAGGCGCTCACCGGGTTTCGCGACGCGGTGGGGCTGAAACAGTGGGGGCGCTGGAGCAGCGACGCGTCGGTCCGCAGGTGCGCCAAGGGGGGCCGGGTCAACCAGGCGCTGGCCTCGCTCAGCGCGGCGATGCGAAGGCACGGCGCCGACTGCGAGGCAAGGGTTGGTCGCCTCCTCTCGAGGCGATCGCCGCCGCTGCCGCCGCCGAGCGCAGCGGCGTAGCCTTGGAGATCTTCTCGGGCCCCGGTCGCCTCTCCCGCGGCTGGCGGAGGCACCGGCGGCTGGCGAGCGCGCCCATCTACGAGATCGACATCCGCCGCCGCCAGACGCACGACCTCGAGGTGCGGAAGAGCCAGCGGATCATCAGGTGCCTCGTCCAGCACGGCTTGGCGCGGTCAGTCTGGCTGGGCGCGCCGTGCAACGCCTTCGCGCGGGCCCGAGAATCGGGCCCCCCAGGGCCGCCGCCCCTGCGGTCCGCGGAGTTCCCGACCGGGCCCCCCAACTTGAAGCCGCGCGATCAGCAGAAGCTGGAGGTGGGCAACGCGCTGGCCGCCTTCGCCGCCCGCGCGATGGACGAGTGCCGGCGGCGGAACGCGCCGGCGGTGCTCGAGAACCCCTGGGCGAGCCGGTTCTTCCAGCAATTTTGTTTTCTGAGACTGCCGAAGGGCGTGCTGCGGGCGGCGGTCACCGACTACTGCCGGGGCGGCACGCGCTGGAAGCGGACGCAGCTCTGGGGCCATCGACCTGAGCTGCGTCGAGCGCCTCTGCTCCGCCTGTGGGATCCGCCCCCGCGCGAAGCAGCCGCGCGTGATCTTGCGCGGGAAGCATCGTCGCAGCGGCGGCTGAGCCTCACCTGCGGCCGCTGCGCAATCGCCTCGCCCAGGCTTTCGCGGACGCTCCTGTGGCCAAGAGAATGGAAGATTTGTCTAGCATGTTGGACTCGGCATGCCGGCCAGGAGTCGGTTTGGGCAAGCGAACCAGACAATGTTTGGAGAGCTGGGCCCAGATACTTTGTCCTAGGGTGACGCTCGCTGCTGACCGGCGGCGCGCCTTCCTGGCCCGCCTCGCCGCCTGTGCCGAGCGCGCCCCAGATGTCCGGCCCGGAGGGGCGCTGAAAGATAAAATTCAGGGATCTCGGCCGTCGTCTTTGCTGGCAGCAGGGAGCGAGGGGAAGCGTGGAGTATTACATAGTTTACATCATGTATCCATCGGCCCCCTCGCCTGAATGCGGCCGTGCCGTTGCAGACCGCTGTGTCTGTAACCCTTTTCGCTCAAGCTTCCCACTGGCTTCGACTGCGTCTGCCTCCCCTTTGCCGCCCGCTTGGCCTGCAGGTTCACACTGGAGAGCTGGGCCCAAATAATTTTTCCTAGAGCGACGTTCGCTGCTGACCGGCAGCGCGCGTTCCTGGCCCGTCTCGCCGCCTGTGCAGAGCGTGCCCCAGATGTCCGGCCTGGAGGGGCACTGAAAGGGAAAATCCAGGGATCTCGGTCATCGTCTTTGCTGGCAGCAGGGAGCGAGAGGAAGCGTGGGATCATCATCATCATCATCATCATCATCATCATCATCATCATCATCATCATCATCAGCATCAGCATCAGCATCATCATCAGCATCAGCACCAGCATCTTCCTCCTCCTCATCCTCATCCTCCTCCTCCTCCCCTCTTCCCCTCCCCCCCCCCTCTCCGCCTCCCGCTCCCCCTCCTCCCTGCCCACGCCCAACCCCGCCCACCCCGAGAGCGGGGTGTGGGCAGCCCTCCTCGGCCACCTGGCGCGGCGCGGCGCGGCATGGGGGGCGGGTGCGGGCAGGAAACGGGGGACGGGGCGGGAGGGGGGAGAGTCGCCGATCTCCGGGCGCGGAACCGAGTTGGGGGGGGCAGCGGCGCGGCCGGGCGAGCGGCGCGCCTCGTGAAGGTCCAGGCGGATACCAACGTGAACCCCAAGCACGTGGGCGAGTCTCTGAGAACCCTGACGCTGGAGGACTCGGGGCGCTCGTTTGTTTCCCTCTCCTGCCACCCGCTTCGCCTTCACACGTCCCGCGGTTCCCCCTCCTCTCCCCTCCCGATCCCGCACCCCCTTCTCCTCCTCTTTCTCTTCCTTTTTTATTCGTCTTCTTCGTCTTCTTATTATTATTCCTATGTGTCTTCTTCTTCTTCTTCTTCTTCTTATTCTTCTTATTATTATTATTCTTCTTTTGTTTCTTCTTCTTCTTCTCCTCCTCCTCCTCCTCCTCCTCCTCCTGCCCCCCCCTCCTCCTCATCCTGCACCTCCTCCTCCTTCTCCTCCGGGTCTTCCTCCTCCTCCCCTCTGTCTCGCCACTATTTTGCTCTCCCCTTCACCCCTGTGTCCGAGAGCCCCAGGCTTCGTGGTCTCGCCAAGAACATCGATGACGCGAAAGGCAGCGATGGTCTCGCCAAGGGCATCGATCTTCTCCTCCTCTTCCTCTTCTTCTCCTCCTCCTACCCCTCTTCCGCCTCACCATCCTACTCCTCATGTTGACGCTCCTCCTCCTCTTCCTCCTCCTCCTCCTCCTCTCCCCTCTCTCCTTCTCTCTCCTCCTCCTTCCTCTCTCCTCCTCCCCCCTCCCTCCCTCCTCCCTCCTCCTCCTCCTCCTCCTCCTCCTCTTTCTCCTCTCGCCTCCTCCTCCTCCCCTCTTCCTCCTCCTCCTCCTCCTCCTCATCCTCATCCCCTCCTCATCTTTCTCCCTCCTCCTCCTCCTCCTCCCTCCTCCTCCCTCTCTTCGTCCTCCTTTTCCTTCTCCTCCTCCCCCTCGTCCTACTACCTGGTTTAATCCTCCTCCTCCTCCTCCTCCCCTCCCTCCTCCTCCTCCTCCTCGCATCATCTCATCATCATCATCATCATTCCATTTCATCATCATCATCATCATCATCATTCATCCTCATCATCATCACATCATCATCATCATCATCATCATCATCATCATCATCATCCTCATCCTCAATCCTCATCCTCATCCTCATCCTCATCCTCATCCTCATCCTCATCATCATCACATCATCATCATCAGCAGCAGCGCAAGCAGCATCCAGCAGCAGCAGCATCCTTATTCAATCCTTATCCTCCTCCTCTCCTCCTCCTTCTCCTCTCCTCCCCATTCTCCTCCTTCTCCTCCTCCTCCTCTCCCTCCTCCTCCTCATCCTCGTCTCCTCCTCCTCTTCCTCCCCCTGTCCTCCTCTTTCTCCCTCCTCCTCCTCCTCCTCCTCCTCCTCCTGATCTGTCCTGCTGGTCCTCTCCCCTCCTCCTTCCTCCTCCTACCTCTCCTTTCTCCCTCTTTTCTCCTCCTCCTCCTCCTCTCCCGCCTCCTCTCTGCTCCTCTCTTCCTCTCGTCCTGTCCTCCTACTCCTCCTCTTCCTCCCCATCATCCTCCTCCTCCTCCTCCTCCTCCTCCTCCTCCTCCTCCTCCTCCTCCTCCTCTCCCTCCTCTTCCTTCTCTCCCTCTTCCTCCTCGTTGTCCTCCTCCTGCTCTTCCTCCCCTTTCCTCCTCATCCTCCTCCTCCTCCTTTCTCTCCTCCTCCTCCGCCTCGTCCTCCTTCTTTTTCCTGGTACGCGCAAACTGGGGCGACCCGCCACGAAGCCCCCGAGCATTTGGCGTATGGCTGCGAGGAGCTCGAGGATTTTGTCGTACATGCAGGAGGGGGAATCGATTGCCGAGAGGTACGTGTCGTCGACGTAGGCATCGAAGGAAGAAAACTCCTTGGAATATCGGTCGACCGTGTACAGGCTAACGGAGCGAGGGACAGTGTCGAAAGCGTCCAAAGCATACACACGAATCAAAGTCGTGGCCATTCTGGACGAGGAGGAGGCAGAAGAGGGGGAGTGGTAGGATGACGAGGAGTAGGGATGGGACTGGTACTCTCGGAGACAGGAGCGAAAGGGAGAGCAAGAGAGCGTCGAGACAGAGGAAGAGGAGGAGGCGGAGGAGGAGGACCAGGGTAAAACCAAGATTCATCAACGATGCTGCAATAAACCCTCAAAGTTGTTCTTCTCACAGGTCCCTACAAGGATCTATTTTCACTGCTGGTAGTGCCCCGTTGGACGGCAATCGTTTGAAAATCCGGAAGCATGCCAGAACACCGTTTGGGAATTGAACGCAACGAATCAACGTTGCTGCTGCGTTCTGACGATCCTGAATCGTGCCAGAACGCGCTTACTGGGACTCCAACACCGCAAAGCAATGTGCCGGTCGCACCCTGACAAACCTGAACCGCGCCGACACACCATTTCCAGGACTGCAGCCGTAATCGTCTTTGAAATAGTTGTAGAACTTTATGGCCAATGTGCGCGGCTCTCAGGCGGGAGCAACATTGTGAACACTACCCGCCCTCCATCCGTGAAGCTCTTCAAACTTAAGACGAATATGCGCGGCGCCAAGGCGAGAGCCACATTTTGAAAGCCGTGAAGCTGTTGCAAGGTTCAAGCTTCAGGATCATGAGTGGTGCGGAAGTCTTAGGCAAAGCGCCTGGCCCGCCCAACGGACCAGTCTCGGGGTGCGACTGGGAGGAGTTTTTTTACAGACTTACGCCGCATCCGCCGACCACTTGAATTGTGCCATTCGTGAGTCTGGCCTGTGCGAAAGACTTGGTCATTTGGCGGTGTTGTTGAAGAGTTTTCTGAAGGGAGCTGACAAATGTCGGCTTCGTGGCGCATGCCTCCGTGGTGGATGAGGTAGTGTTCGCTCGTCGGGGCCTTCGAGAGGGTCCTGAGGGAACCCTCTTGAAGCCAACGCGGAGCCTGACGGGGCTCTCATGGGCCGTCCGCGACGCCTTGCGGGCCGTATTGGGCGCTGTCGTGGGGCCCTCCCGGAGGCCTCGTCGCCCGTCGCGGGTCGCTGGGCGAGGCGTCTGATCGAATGCACCGAAAATTACATGTTTTTGTTAGGGAACTGGCAACGGTTGGCTTCGTGGCGCAGGTTTTCGTGGGGAATGAAGTCATGCTCGCTTGTTGGGCCCTCGCGGGGGTCCTGAGGGAGCCATTTTGGGGCCAACACGGAGCCCGAGACGGCCTCCCTGGGTCGCGTCCCTTTGGACGCGCCGTGGGCCAGAGGCCTGGTGTGAGCACGGGCGTGCGCGCGTCTGAAGGACGGTGGTTGCGCCAGAGAGGGGCCCGAGCACGAGGTTTGGGCTCGTCTTGCTGGTGCCGCGGCGACTGCTGCGCGCAAGCGTGCACAGGGAGTGACAGAGAGGTTGAACCAGGGAGGGGATCCGCCACAAGAGTTGGTTTCGTCTTGCCGGTGCCACGGTGACTGCCGCGCTCGAGCGTGCGCGCGGAACTGCACAAAACACGAGCGGAGGTCGCCGTTGTAGGGGGCAGGTAAGCCTGGGGCGACAGCGTGCGACCTGGGATCGTGCAGGGGGCCCTTCGGGGCCCTCTCGGACCGTCGGCGGCGCCTTGCGGGTCGTATGAAAGCCATGTTTAGGCTGGGTGAGCTATCTTGGGCATCTCCTGGGCCGCCCCGGGGCCAGCGGGAGCCGTCGTGGGGCGACCTGGGACGCTTGTTGGGCGGTTTCGGGTCGGAGGCCCAGGCCTCTGATTCAGCTTGCCGAGCTGCGAGGTGTCCAAACGGAAAGAGGCAATTTTGGCTTGCTGGGGCCCTCGGTGGGAGTCCCGTGGGGGCCAGCTTGGAGCGTGTACGGCGCCTCCGGGGGCCCTCCTGGGCAGTCTGCGGCGGCTTGCGGGCCGTTTTGGGGCCATCTTGGGTTGGGTGGGGCCCGTGTTGGTCCGTCACGGGGCCATCGCGAATTGTTTTGAGGCCATCTCGGTGTCATCTGGGGCTGTCTTGGGTGCGTTTTGGGCCGTCCGGGAACCGCCTGGAAACGGCGTGGAGCCTCTTGAAGGCCTCTTGGCCCGTCTCGGTTCGCTGGTCACGGCGTCGGAGCCAGTTTGCCAACAAATGTCAGTTGTCCTTCGGGAGGTGCCCAATTTTGGCTAGTTAGGGTCATCGTGGAAGGTTTTCCCCCCACATCCTATATGGGGATGTTTGTTTTCTCTGGACACCCTGCGCAGGAACAGGAACAGGAACGCACCCACATCATCATCATCATCATCATCATCATCATCATCATCATCATCATCATCATCATCATCATCATCATCATCATCATCATCATCATCATCATCATCGTCATCGTCATCGTCATCGTCATCGTCATCGTCATTATCATCATCATCATCATCATCATCATCATCATCATCATCATCATCATCATTCTCTTTACCATTATCTGTATCATTATCATTATCATCATCATTATCATCATCATCATCATCATCGTCATCGTCATCGTCATCATCATCGTCATCGTCATCGTCGTTATCATCATCGTCATCGTCATCATCGTCATCATCATCATCATCATCATCATCATCGTCGTCGTCGTCGTCATCATCATCTTCATCAGCATCAGCATCAGCACCATCATCAGCAGCAGCATCACCATCATCATCACCCCATCACTCCGTCACTCACACACTCATGCATTCACACTCATCATCATCATCATCATCATCATCATCATCATCGTCGTCGTCGTCAGCAGCATCAGCATCAGCATCAGCATCATCATATTCATCATCACTCAGTCCCTCACTCACTCACTCGCCCACTCATCGTCATCACCATCATCATGGACATCATTCCCACACTCACTCACGCTCACACACAAACACACTCACACACTCACACAATCACACACACACACACTCATGCATTCATTTGAGGGCGGTGTTGACAAGGACCGGGGCGGGTAAAGTAAACCACGGGTCAGGGCCTGGTCCGGGCCGGGTCCGGGCCGGGACGCCGGGTCCGGGCCGGGTCCAGGCCGGGTCCGGGTCTGGGCTGGGTCCGGGCCGGGCCGGGTCCGGGTCCGGGCCGGGTCCGGGCCGGGTCCTGCGGCCGGGTCCGGGCCGGGTCCGGGCCGGGTCCGGGTCTGGGCCGGGTCAGGGCCGGGTCCGGGCCGGGT